TTAGGCCATTTACCCCTCCCTGCATCCTGGGAATCAAGTACTCTTACGATCTTTAGTCTATAGAGGAGAAAGCTGAAACTCAGAGTCTAAATGACCTGCCTGGGGTCATCCAGCCCGCAAGTGGGAGAGCTAGGATTTAAGTTCAACCTCTAAACTATTGACTCTGCTATATCATTTGGAGGCTGTTCCATAAATCAGTTTGGGCAAGGGGTCTTATTTTGTTATCTTTGCTTTGTTCTTTTGAGACAGGGTCTTGCTATGCAATTCAGGCTGGGCCTGAACTCACTTTGTAGCCCATGCTGGCTTTGGGCTCAATGGATATTCTCCAGCCTCAGCCTCCTAAGTACTGGGATTACTGACATGTGCCACCATGGATTAAAAGCTAAAGTGAAAGGATTTTAATTTTTACACTTGAATGTATTGCTTGGTAGATAAGTTGGTACCAGGACAAAGTCACTGGTTCCATGTTTAGGGTGGAATTTGTGGAGAGCCATAAAGATAGCATTCCTCAAACACGGACCCCAGCCCAGGAAAAGATCCCCCCAGTATTGCTACCTTCAGACTCCCCAGCCTCATGGACAAAATGGTCCACTGAGGTTTTTGGGGGTTTTTGTTTTGGTTTGTGTTTTTGAGGTTTTTATTGTGATTGGTATTCTCCCAGCAAAGAAGTGGGTCACGTTTCTACAGTGCAAATTGTCTGTGTATTTACAAGGCATCACAGTGGGGCTGGTGGTGCAGCCCTGTAACCCCAGCACTCTGGGAGGCGGAGGCAGGAGGACTGAAAATCCAAACACAGCATGGGCAACCTATCATGACCGTCTATGACTCAAAAAATATGGGGCTGGTGAGATAGCTCAGTAGCCTTAGGCAAGAGTAGGCAAGCGCAGGGACCAAGATATGAACCCTGGTACTACATGCATGCAGCGCCAGTCCCACCCCCAGGGCGGGCTGAGCAGGCCACACATACACACACATAAATAAAATAAAATAAAGTACTAAGTATGTACCTCAGTGGTAGAGAGCCCCAGGGTTTGACTGGTAGCACAAAAAAAAAAAAAAGGAAGGAAAAAAAAACAGTGCTCTGTACTTTGCAATGTGTGTGTGTGTTTGTGTGTGTGTGTGTGCGTGCATGTGTGTTGTGTACCAGAAATTGAACTCAGGACCTTAAGTTTCTCAGGAACGCACTATACCACTGAGCTATATCCTCTGTCCCTTGTACTTTGCAATTTTTTTTTTTTTTTTTGGAAGGGTCTACAGGGTGTTCAGGGTCTCACTACTAGATTGGACTTGTAGTGATCCACCTGCTTACAGCTTCCCAAGAGCTGGGATTACAAGCACATGCCACCATGCCCAGTCTCAACTGCTGGCTTAGTGCCTCGGGATTGAACCCCCGGCCCCTGCACCTGTTTGCAGGTGCTTTAATCCTCTGAGCTATTTGGCCAGCTCTTACTTTGCAATCTTAACTGTGCTGGGAACTTTAAGCTTTTCTTTTTGAAAAAAAAAAAATCTTTTTTTTTTTTTTTTTTTTAAAGCATGGCTTGTTGGAAGCCAGGCTTGGAACTGGAGATGAATACATTAAGCTACGCCAAAGCCATGGGGACTTGGCCAGCAGAGCTGAGGCTTGATGTGTAAGTATCTGTCACAGTACAGTGACTCAAGTCTCATAGTTCAGGCTGGCCTTAGCCCAGGCTGTCTCCAGCTCACTGGCAACCCTCCTGCCTCAGCCACCCAAGTGCTGGGATCGCTGGTGAGCCCCACCATGCCCAGCCTTTCAGGGTTGGTCCTTGTGGGCTGCTGCTTTCAGGAAAAGGCAGAAGCCCCCATCCAGACACACAGGTAGCAAAAGGCACCGAGGAAGCAGAATCCACCGAGGACAGAACCCCTCCCACCCTCCTCCCACCTCCACTGTACCTGTGCTGTAGGCTGGGGAGCTGGGGCTCTCAGAGATGGGGGGCAGGGGCGAGTGCAGGTCTGGGATCCGGTCCAGGCTGAGGGCACAGTTGCGGATGGAGTCCCGGGGCTGGGGCAGGGACGCGCTGTGGGTGGATGTTTCTGTGAGCTGCAGCCCAGAGTTTGGGGCCTCATCCTGCCTCTGGGGCCCCACCTGTGCCCCTAAATGTCACAGGCAGAAAAGGCCTGGAGATTCTTGAGTTCCATCTCTCAGCAGACAGACAGAATAAAAGCAGAAGCTGCGAGGAAGGGCTGTGACTGGGTGTGGAGGGTCGCCTCTGCAGCCACCCGCATGGTCCCAGTGTTACCCATCATCCTGCTCTCAGTCCTGACCGGGCACCCACACACACCTGAGGCCAGCCTCTGAGTACGAGGGGAGACCCACCAAGCCAAGGCTTCTTGGTCCCCTTTATGTCTCTCCTATTCCTGGGAGAAGGGACAGACAGACTAGAGCTCTGCTACACAGCGAGTCACCTTTGTTCAAGTCCATGGCTGCACCATCCTCAGGGGACATACAGTGCCTCAGTTCCTCCCTCAGCGTCCTAAGTAGAGGGCTGGATGGGGTTTAGCCCCTTCTTGGGATGAGGACAAGGGGAGAGTTTGTGCAGTCCACAACCTGCACAACTGTTTCTTCCCTGGGAACCTTGCCCAGAGAAACCTTGGACAGTTGTCTGTGGAAAGGGCTAGCAGGAAGGGAGGGGACACAGGAGAAGCCAGGGCAGCCAGCCCAGGCCCTCCTGGCTGCTCCCACACTCTGCCTGCCTCAGGCACATGTGTCCTGTGGATCCTGTCACCACAAGCTCGCTGGCTCTGAACCACAGGCCAAGGGGCTCCTGCCCATAGATATCCATCATTAGTGTCCTGCTGACAGCATCCAAGTGGGCCCGGTGAAGGCCCATTCGGATGCTGGTGGCAACAGAAGTGACCTCTTTGCAAACAGCCACAAAAATTAGGGAAACTAGACTTGAGCCCACAGACCTGGGTTTAAATCCTTTTTTTTTTTTTTTTTTTTTTTAATGTATTTAGTACAAGGTCTCACTACACAAATCTGACTCGTGGTGATCCTCCTGTTTTCAGCTTCCCAAGTGCTGGGATTACAGGCGGGTGCAACCACACCCAGTCTCAGTTGTGGCTCAACACGCTCTGGGGGCAGAGCTAGTACGCCAGGGATCAAACTCCAGTCTCTGTGTCTGCCTAAGCAGGCACTTTAATCTACTGAGCTATCTGGCTGGCCCCCTTGATCCTATCACTTGCTAGCAGTCTGCTTCCCCCCTCTAAGTCCACTGCACCCTTCCTGAAGGGGGTACAGCCAGCAAGCTTGGGGTAGGAAATGACTGGAGCAGGTGTGGATGGCATTCAGCACAGGGCCAGGCATTGTTGGCCTCAGGAGCCATGCCTGGTCTTACCCAGTCCAGAGGGAACAGGTGTCATTGCAGCGTCACCAGGAACCACCCAGTCCCTAAGCAGTGGTTGCTGTTCTGTAGAGTCTGCAGCTCTGCTGCATGCAGTGGCCTAGCGACATGCCTGCCTTAGCAGCTGGCACCGAGACCAGCCTGCTGACTCGGGCCAGCACTGGGGGGCCCCTTCTGCAATGAAAGGCCACTGGAGGGGGGACACACAGGGATGAGGGGTGGGAGGAACGGCCAAGGGCACCCAGCCAGCACATCCCCCACCTGTCCCCACCTCCAGGGAGCTGGCCGCATCCCCTGCACACTGATTGTCATGGAGAGAGTGACCATCTCTGTAAGCTGAAGTCCCCCCAAGCACTCGTCACAGACATCCCTACTGCACTGCAAGGCCCCATATGGGGTCCCAGCTGACCTGGTGAGGCAGCCGTCGCCACGGGTGACCTTGTCGGCAGTGAGCCCATCTGTCATGGTGACACTGCGCCGCTTCATGTGGCTGCCCTTGGTCCCCGAGGGGCTGGCGGGGCTGGCAGCCTTGCCACTGGCCGGGCCCAGGCCATAGCTGGCCTCGAGGTAGCGCAGCGGGAAGGTGCGGTTGACTGGGCAATAGATGATGGCGCCGCTCTGCTCTGACACAGCCTTGCGGCTGCCCACATGGTAGCGCACCAGGGCGGGCACGTGGTCGAAGCTCTCCTGCTCGAACAGGTACTGGATGTGGGTGTAGCTCTCCCCCGCCTTCACCACCACCTTGTTGATCTTGAAGTGCAAGGCCTGGTTGCGCCAGCGGCACGTGAGCACATAGTCACCCAGGCTGGTGAGCGAGTCCCGGATGAGGAAGTCACCGTTGCGCTGCACCAGGGTCTCTGAGACCTGCAGGAGGTACAAATGGGCATGGTGAGGACAGAAGAGACCCAGACCCAGGATTGGGGAGATGGGGACTCAGGACCAGCAGGAGATACCACAACCAGACCCAGGATGGGGGTGGCAGAGGATACAGGCATCTGCCATCTAAGCCTGGGACTAGGGACACAACAACCCAGACACTGAGCCAGAGGTCTGGTGTCTGGCCCAGAGCTATAGAAATGATGGAACAGGTGGAGGCCAACGTCAGTGGAGGTAGTAACAGCAAAGCCAGTGTCCATCCAGCACATGCGAGCCAGACAAAGGGTTAGGCGCTTTCCCTGGCTTCTTTCACTTCATTCCTTTATGACCCGGAGGTACTGCGTCTCCTCCACTTCACAGACTGCACACTAAGGCTCTGAGTGAGGAAGTCAGCCCAGTGCACTGGAGTTGGGCCTCCCCAGCCTCCGCCAGAGCCCCTCTGCAGGCCACAGCCTCAGCCTGGGGAGCCACAACGTGGGCGGTGGGAACACTCACCTCACGGGGGATGCGGCCGTGGTACCAGGCATGGCTGCGGAGGTCAGTGCTGCTGAGTTTCAGCTCTTCCTCCAGCTCCTTGTGCAACTTCTCTGGTGAGGAGTCCAAGATGTACTTCTCCTTGGAGAACTGGGGGAAGAAGTAAAAGTTGGCCTTCAGCTCCTCTTCCCTTGGGATGCTGGGACCATCACTCACGGGGGACGGATCCAGCTGGGGCAAGGCAATCTCAATTAATGCCCCTAAATCATGCCCACCACATTCCTTGTCCTGCACTAGGTGCAAGGAGTAGATGCAATGATTGATAAACCAGGCCGAATCCACAAGGAAGTGCTTGAGGAAGAGACAAGGCACGTGCTGCCTGTGAGCTGCCTGAGGTCAGCACCACGGCGCTGGACAGCGGCAGAAAGCCACCCCATCTGGGCAGTGTGGAAAGGGCTGGGAAAGCTTCCTGGACATGTCCAGCTGGCCTCGGACACCAGGGATACCAAACTTATCTTGAAGTCAGGGAGAGGGGATTTCCACAGGTGTATGTGGGAGGGGAGGCGACAGGTCCTACAGGCCAAAACAAAGACCGGCACAGACCTGGATGGACGAGACATTCTGGGATGGTGAATTAATTGTACAGAGAAAGATGGGGAAGCAGCCATCTACAAAGACAGGGGACCCCGGGGACATCTTAATTTACAATTCCCAAGGTCCCTCCTTCTTGCCACTCAAGTGATCCTTGCCAGATGGGGAAACTGTGGCCCAGCAAGGAAGCTCGGGGTAACTCCAGGGGGCTACCTTCCCACCATCCAAGGATACTGCAGGTTCCCAGTGGTCAGACATCAGAGGTCATCCAACCCTAGGGCCTCTGACACCAGGAGGAAGGGAGCCCCTGCTGTCAGGTACGCCCCCCAGAGCCCAGCCTAGCCATCATGAGCTGTGTGAATTGCTGGGTCCTCACTTCCTCCTCAGTAAGATGGGTACAGGGACAGGGTCTGCTTTGCTGGCTGGCCAGGGTGTGAGGGGTGCCACTGCACAGTGCTGCAGCTCTGTTCTCACAGACATCCTGTGTCCCCACACTTGTCACTGCAAGGACATGGAACATTCCTGTCTGCTCTCAACTCCAATCCTAAAGATGGCTGCTCTGGGACAGGCAGAACCCAAAGCTGGCCTGGTGAGGGAAGCAGCACAGGGGAGCTCCCTGCAGCACTAGGGTCCTCGTGCCTTGCAGCTTCCAGGCCCTCAGATCTCCTCCTGGACGCTCTGCTTCCACTGCTCCTGGGCTTCCCTCACCAACTCCAGGAGCCCCAGCTCAGGGGTGGCTAGAACCTCTGACCTCACACTCTCACTGGGGTTCTGTGTGGCTGCTGAGGCCCTAAAGAGACCTGAATGGTCCTCTGTCCTAGGGGGAGCTCCCCAGGTGCCCACAAGCAATCCTAGTCTTCTGAATGTTTAGAGGTCCAGTGGGAGTCCCACATCCCATGTGGCAGAGCTGGTGCCTTCCCAAAGAAGGTGGAGGTGTCTGGCAGAGACTACAGTGCTAAAATTGGAGCCCTTCAGGCAGAGCCAAGGGCTGGGGCTGGGGGCGGAAAGGGCAGGGGTGGCTGGGCTTCCAGGCTGCCCTGGGAGACTGAGAGTCACCTAAGGGGCACAGCAGAGCCACATCAGAATGGCCCAGGGCTGGAACAGGTGGGAAGGCTGAGGAGAGTGCCTGGCATCACCGGCAATGGCAGAGTGGCCAGTGGAGCAGGAACAAGGAGGGGAAGGAGCATTTCGATGGCTGTTAATGAAGTGTGGGAAGTGTCCAGGGACTAGGTTAGGCTCTTGGGAGGACAAGGGGACACTGTTGTAGTGGCCAAGCTGGTGGGAGCAGTTTGGCAGTGTACCCATGAAAATATGGCCTTTGAGGAACCTGCAGGGCTCTATGGACAGACAGTAGTATGGGCAGCTTGCACAGGTGCCCAGCCGAAAGCTGGTGCCCTGGGAGGAGCAGGGGCCCTGGGCCGAGCTGAGCGTCAGCCTTTATGGCTCCTCACACTTCTCCAAGGGTCCCTATCCTTGGGGTCTCTGTCATCCCTCAAGCTCTAGGACTTGCACAGCCCTAAGCCTCCCTTATTATAACACACCAGACAACAGACCTGCAGAGGGAAAGGCAGGAGGTGAGTGGTGAAGGGGAACTTTCACCCAGCCTTTCGGGGGTCCTCTTGACAAAGAGCGATCACACAGACTCCTCGGTAGCCACAGCTGGGGCTGAACAGGACAAGTAGACAGAGGAACAGGAAGCGGTGTGCTATCGAATCTGGCCCCCAACACTCTGCCACTGTGTGACCTTCAACCAGTCACTCCCCCTCTCTGGGCCTGGGTAGCGAGATGGTCCAAGGGGAGCCAGCTACAGAGCTCCTCTTGCCAGCCCTCACTAGTGGTAAAAGAGTTTGGGATTTGGTCCTCCACACCGCCCCCTCCCTTCAGACCCCACCCCCTGGGGACCTGTGGCCTCCTGCTCGCCCCTGAACTGGGGGTCCCCAGCTCCTAAGAGTTGGGGGGGGGATGCGAATGCGGCATCCCTGCGCTCAGCGCGCTGCTATTGGCTAGAGATGATCTCACCGCTCCCGGCCTGCGTACGCCTGATTGGCCAGCGCGGATGCTGCGCTCCCGGCGGCGCGGCCGTCATTCAGGCGGGCTCCAAGCGTGTGAGCCCGGGGCAGAGCGGGGGTGACGCGCCCCGCGTCTCCTGGGGGGCGCGAGAGGCAGAGCGCGGAGACCCCAATCAGGGTCTTAACCTCTCTTCCCACTACCCTAAGCCCGGCCAACTCCCTCGGCCTCCCGCAGATTTCCCGACCCGGCTGAGGCGTCCCCGAGGATGCTCTGCAGAGAGGCGGGGTCCGGGTCCTCCCCTCCACCCCCTTCCGTTTAACCCTCTCGCCGCCGCGGCCTCTCCTGCACTGGGCTGGGGACCCGCGCCCCTAGTACGCCCGAGCCACCTTGGGGGGCAGGAAGGTGGCGGGCGCGCTGGCTCCAACCTACGCACCCATAGCAGTCCTCAGCGTCCCGCCCCCCACTACAGACCCCAGCCCACAGCCCCCGGTACAATGAGGAGCCAGGTGGCTGGGGTCAGCCGCAAAAGTCCCGGGGCAGCTGGAGGACGGACGACCCTCCCGGCGCCCGAGCCCGGCCGCGCTCCTCTCGCGGGGGAGGCAGCATCCGCAGCGCCCGCAGCCAGGAGTCGCGGAGCGCCTGCACCCGCACCCCACTTCAACCGCACCCCGCGGGGCGCCCCGAGGTGAGGCCGGCGACCCCGCCCCCTCCCGCCTGCAGCCCTGCCTGACCTCTGCCTTCAGTGTGGGGCTGCGGTTTCCAGACCCGGGCACGGCGGGGGCGTCCCCGTCCCGGAGCCGGGCAGGGTCGGGCTGCCTCACCTGCACCTGCACGAAAGAGCCGCGGTAGAAGCAGCAGGCAGCGGCGGACAGCGCGCTCCACAGGCTGCAGCGCTCGGCCATGGTGCGGCCGGCAGGGTGGCGGGTGGGCAGGGGGCGGTGGCACCGGGCAGGGGCGCGGGACCGACCGGCTGGGCACCGGCTGCGCTGCCTCTCGGCGGCGCGATTACCTCATCGCCTGGGCGGGGGAGGAGCGGGGAGGCGGGGCAGGGAGACCCCACCCTCCGGCCGGTGGGGAGGGGAGGGGGCCATTGTTCCTCCCTCCGCCCCCACTCCCAGCCCGCACCCCCCGCGCTCGGGTCCCGCACTCGCTCGGGCAGCCGGGAGCTGGGGTGTGGGGTTGAGGGTCCCCCAAAGGGGCTGTCACAAGGGTTGTGGGTGCAGGAGGTATGGTGGGCTGGTGATGGGGGGCTCCGGACTCCCCAGCTCCCCACAACCCTCAGAGACCAGGAGCACAGGAACTTTGAATGAAATCATATCTAAAGCTGGGGGTGGGAGAAAATCGCTGTATGTTTTGAACCCAGTCTTTTGTGGCCGGGAAACCTCCTGGAGACTTAGTTTTCTCATCTCTGACTTGGAGTCGCCTCCACCTACCTGACAGGTCCAGGGTGCCAGAGAAGCCAATGGTCAGAGCGCCAAGTGGGTTCACCTTGTCTCTCCCCAAACTCGGTGCACCCCCGCCCCAGCCAGATCTGCTCCTTTGGAGAAGCCTCTGGAACTAACATCTAATACCTATGTGACCTCAGGAAACTCGGAGGGTTGGCTGAGAGCCTGGATGGAAGTTGCCAGGCACAAAGTAAGTGCTCAGAGAGGTGTGGTGGTGCAGGCCTGTAATCCCAGCTGAGGAAAAATCAGGAGGCTGAGGCTGGAGGATTGCTGGATAGTTTAGGGCCAGCCTGGGCTACCTGGTCAGTTCGAAGCTAACCGGAACTACCTAGTGAGACCTGTGTCCAAAATAAAGAAACACATAAACTACGTGTAGGGCGAATTGCTTTCCAGCAAACAGTCTCCAAGTCGGACTTAGTCTAGGCTCATAAGACTTTTCAGAACTGTGGCATCCAGGCCCGTTGGAGTGTCAGGGGGTCCATCTCTCTCTGGACCTCAAGGTTTATGTCCCGTAAATGTATCTGAAGCCCTGAAGCTGGAGTCTGCAAGTCTCCAGTCTTGGAATTTTAGAACCAAAGGCTCCCCGACACAGCTTGGGAACTTTGGAGTTCCGAAAGCCAACTCCTCAAAGATGAGCACCTCAGGGCAGGGTGGAGTTTTGGAAATAGATTATTATTGATTCTAAGCCTTGTTGGAAGCTCAAAAAAATAAAACTAACATGACCAAGTTTAGTCTTTGGGGGCTTGTTTAATCAGTTCCAGTGAGTAGGACTTACTTCCTCTAGAATTAAAAAAAAAAAAAAATCTACAAATTTAACTCCATAAACCAAAGTAAAACTAAAAAGCTGACAATCCTCAGGGATCTCATTACCTTTCATGGTAGCTAAGATTTGTGGGTGGCCCATGTGTCCTGCCCACTGGCTCAGTCCTTCCCGCATGATCTATGGCTCTGGAAAAGGAGCTGGGCCTGACCTCCATGCAGTGTACCCCTGCCCCCTCGCTGACTGGGTCTGGATCCCCCCAGCCCCTCTGCCCCCTGCCCCTCTCTAGCTTTCCATTCAAGGAGAGATGACAGTGAATGTTGCTGACCAACCTCCTTCAGAAAGGCTTCCCACGTTTCTCCTCCCCAGCTCCCTGCTGCGGATGGTAGGGGCAGGCTGCCAACTGCATACACCAAGCTCAGAGGTGAAGTCCATGCCCAGGACTGAGGTTGGTATGGAGTGCATTGCCCAGTCATGTGTGCTTCTGCCCCGGCTCCCTGCTGGGAGCCCTCTAAGCACAGGGCTAAGGGCCTGCTCGGCCCTCTGCACTGTATCCAGAACTCAGCTCTGGGCCTTGAGCCTTGGCATCTGCAAGCCCAGCTCTGCCCTGCAGGATTTGTGCGGCTGTGAGTGGGCACACAGAGGCCCTTGCTGGCCTTGCTGAGGGAAAAAGTCTGACTCGTTCATGCAGCCAGCATAGAGCTCACAAGATGTCATTTAGCACTGTCACCATCATATGCTTATTTCAAAATGACATCTGCAAAGTTCCCAGTGCCCAGAAAGAAGTAAGCCTGAGATGGATCTGAGCCAGGCCCACTGTCCCTGATGAAGGTCCTTTCCTGCTGCCTCCTCCCTGCCCCAGCACACAACATGGATTCAAAACCTGGGTGGAGTTGGGTGTGGCAATCCCAGCACTATGTTCCAGCACTCTGGGAGGCTGAGGCAGGAGGACCGAAAGTTTGAGCCCAGCCCAGGCAACTTATTGAGAACTTGTGTCAACATTTAAAATAAATAAAGGGCTGGGGATGTAGCTCAGTGCAAAGGCCCCAGGTTCACTGAGATACCCTGGGGGCCCCAGCCAGTGGCAGCTGGGTGGGCCTGGTGCCAACTCCATGGAGGCTGAGCTGGGCCTATGGGGAGGAAGCTGCTGAGGGTAAGCCCAGCCCCTGAGCCTCCCGGTGAGGTTGGGAAACTGCTGCCCCAGGCAGCATAGGCTCAGCTCTCGTCTCCTGAGCCATGCACAGCCTTCCTACCTTCACGTAGTCCCCGGCAGCCTCCAGCTCTGCTGAGGCCCTGCAAGAAAAGAAGACAGGTGAGTGTCCCAGCACTGCGCAGCCCCAGGCCTTGACCTCTACCTATCTGCCCGAAGTGAGTACCGGGTCCTCAGAGCCCAGGCGGCTCACGCTGAAGCTAGGGCACACTCTAGAATCTGCTGGCCTGGCTGTGCGGCCTTGGGCAAGAGCCACCACCTCTCTGAGTCTAGGTTTTGGAAATCACAAATAAGGCAAACACCTGCCTAATGGAGCGGTCTCCAGGGGTCATGGATGTTGCCTATTTGGGACTCCATGATCTCCTGGTTTGCTGCTCCTGCACTGGAGGTTGGGTAGCTGCGGTCCAGCTGGTTCCCAGCAGACACCTGATGATTTCCCCGCTTTCAGGGTACAGCCCAACCAGGCCCAAGGTGGCTGTTTCTCTAGGGTGCAGAACACATATCCCTCCCATGAGGGCTGCCTGGAGCCGGGCTGCCGTCCCTGAGCGCCAAGCCTGGCCCTGGCCCTGGCTCTACCGCGCCAACCCAAGACCCAGGTGGCTCCCTCGGATGTCCAAAGGCATGCAGGACACATCACATCTGTCCTCACGTATCTTCCCATCTCTGCTGACATCATCGCTGTCACCTGCTGCATCCTCTTACGGTGGCAAAAATCTTTACCTGACACCAGCCACGCCCAGCCCAGCTGCAAACCCAGAGCTGTGCTTCTGCATGGATCCTGAACATTCCTCTCCAGGTGTCACCTGCCCAGCTTGGCCACCCAAGTACCCCCGGGAGCACACGGGGCCCCCTGCCCAGTGCCCCAGGTCCTCTCATCTCTGCTGCTTTCCTCCCTCCTCCACACAGCACCTAAGGTCATAACTCAAGCCCAGGGGCCGGGGAGATAGCTCAGTGGAATAAGCACTTTCCTGGTAAGCGCAAGGGCCTGAGTTCAATTCCTGGTTCTGGAAAAAAAATCCACTAACATAACCCAAGCCCATCACAGTGCATAACAGGCGCACACACACCACTTGCCACTCGTGCGCCACTCTGAGCCCTGTAAAGATGGCTCCAGGGCTGGTGAGATGGCTCAGTGGTCTAAAGCACCTACTTAGAACAAGCTAAGCTAAGCAAAAGCACAGTGACCGCGGTTCTAATCCCCAGCACCACATGCCAGCCAGCCCCGCCCCCTGGTGGGCTGAGCTGGCCACACACACACACACAAAAAAAATAAATTAATTAAAAAAAAAAAAGAAGGTAATTTCTAAAATTATAAAAAAAAAAAGATGGCTCCCACCTCTGCCACCCCTCTTTCTCAGTAGTGGTCTTGCTGTGTTGCCAGGGTGGCAGGCATCAAACTCCCAGGCTCAACAGGGTCTCCTGCCTCTGCCTCCCAAGTAGCTCCCAACTACACAGGTACAAGCCACCATGCCTGGTTAAAATTCCCTTTTCCGTGTATGTGTGTGGCGTTGGGGACGAACCCAGGACCTCATGCACTCTAAGCAAATGCTCTACCACTGAGCCACACACCTAGCCCATCTCTTGGGGAGCAAAATTTACCTTCCCCTCCATGGCTGTGTAATTATCATCCAATTAAAGGGTGCCATTGCTAAGCTGGAATACAGGCATAGGCCGGGCCACCCCTCCACCTTGTCTCCAGAGCCTCCTGCCCCAGCCTCGTCACCTGCTCACTCCTGCCACAGGCCCCTTTGCAGCTGCGCAGAATGCCAGGCTTAGTCTGTTCTTCCCCAGGTCAGCATGTGGCTTGCCCCTCACCCCTTTATTCAGGGCTCTGCTCAAAGTCACCTCCACAGGAAGCCTTCCCAGACCACCCACCTAGAACACCTCTCCTCCACACCCTCCCTGGCTCCCCAGCTCCGCTTCATTCTCCTCGAGTTTCTAATCCCTGCTGAAATGATCTCTCTGCATTTATTTCACTGGACAGTATCAGATGCTGCCACCAAGGTGTGGGCTTTGTCTCTGTCACCCTCAAGCCACTGGTCCCCAGCAGAGCACCTGGCACATTCCAGCAGCTCAGGAGCTTAAAGGGATGGAAGACCCATCACACCCTGTGGTAGCCACAACCACTGTGTTTGTCAGCCTAGAATGCAAAATGGGGACGGAAGGCTGGGCCTTAGGGAAATATTGGCTCAAATACAAGGGTCTAAACTGGGCATAATCCTACCACTTGGGAGGCTGAGACAGGAAGATCACTGTGAATTTGAGGCCAGCATGAACTGTGTACACAGTGAGACCCTGTCTCAAAAAACCAAAATACCAGACCAAAACAAAACAAAACCAATAGCAAAAAACAGGAGCTTAATATTCAAACAAAATAAAACTGAGCTGGGGCCGGGGAGCTAGCTCAGCGGCACAGTACTCGCCTGGCAAAGGCAAGGTGCTGAGTTGGATTTCAGGGGCCAAAAATAAATAAAATAAATAAAGCTGAACAAAAAAAAAAAAAAAAAAGAAAGAAAAAAGTAAGTAGTATAGGATCCCAGCTCCTAAGGCAAGGGGGTCCATGACACTCTAGGGTTCCTTGTTCCTGACAAGGCCGCGAGGAAGTCCTTCCTGACCTCTAGCAACTGTCCCTCTAGCTGCCTTCTGCAGCAGTAGCTTCCTAAGCTTTGAGTCCATCTGTCTTATCTGTCTGTCCAGCAGCTGTGGGGTGAGGGGCAGCGGGGCTCCTCTCCCTTCCTGGGTGAGGTGTCCCATCCCAGCTTTTCCGGCCTTTCAGGCCCGGAAATCCGCCCTCTGTTGGGAACAGAAGAGCCGGGACACTGGGATGGCCTGGGCGCCTCCTCCAGCTTCCTGTCTGCTTCCCTTCAGGCCCTGGGCTGGGCACAGTGCCCTGTCAATGGGGTGCCTGCCCCAGAGATCAGCCCAAGTGGTGTGTCCTGAGCCAGTAGGGTAATCAGGACAGGAGCCCAGGCAGGAGATTGAGGCAGGAGATTGAGGACATGGCAGAAGGGTTTTTTTCTTTTTTTTTGCTCCGAATGCCTTCAGGGCAGGTTTGGCTGGCTTGAGTTGTGAGGATCGAACCCCAGCAACCTGAACCTGACACCTTTGTTGAAGCAGTCACTTAAAGAACTGAGCTAAGGGGCAGGCCCCCTAGATTGAGGACATGGGATGCTTACCAACCCTCCCCTCCCTGCGCCTCCAGAGCACACTGGGATTTCCAAGGTGGATGTGCCCTTGGCCACTTACATTGACTGCCATC